AAAAAAAAAAAAAAAAAAAAAAAAAAAACCAGCTGAGCCAAAACGAATAATTCACCTACACTCTGCAGCTGTCAGGAGCATGATCTGCACCTGATGGTCTGCAGTGCCCACATAGTATGCAGATTAGCGATGACGCTATTTCTTTTCGCCTTATGAAATGCGCTCCATTTTACATTGCCATTTCGATGCAAAGGTCGGTCTTTTCATGTGTGCGCGTGTGTGTGTGTGTGTAACCCCCAGTTATCAGCTTCGCACCAAGACATGGTTTTCCCCAGGGACTAGACTCAATATGATCTCCCTAAGATGCGTTCCAACGCCTCGCAGTCAAGTGCACTTACAAGCAAAGGACGCCCAGTGTCCACAAGATAGATACTAACGATACAATGGCTGGAGGGCAGACAACGTGCAAGCACACCAGCAGGCAAACTAAAAAAACAACAAACAAGTCCCAAGGGGATGCCAAGACCAGGTAGACGAGAAAAGCAACAGAGCAAAGCAAGCAAAAGGACATCAAGGCATAGGCTGGAGGGCACGGGGGAGGCGGGAAGGCAGACAACATGTAAGAACACGAAACAGGCACACAAGCGCACGACGGCAGGCAAACCGGAAAAAATACAAGTCCCAAGTAAATCGGAGACCCGAAAAAAATAAACTGATGATAACAAGATTGTTTCGTCGGAATTGCACCGACTCATCAGGAGGCTGAACCCTCGACAATCTCCGGCATCCCCAGTTTTGGATGTGTTAGGTCATGAAACCTTTGACCCTTGTTGAAGGCAGGTTGCCCACACACGGAACACATCAGCAGCGAGTGACGCCGTTGTGAAGCACCAGGCAACACACTCAACGCCAGTATATTGCACAACACCAAAGACGGCTGCAAGCGGAAGACGACGTCAGTGGAGATGACGCATGGCACCCGTTTGGGGGCACAAGCCCACACCCAAACGACAACCATCCGACACACCACAAACGAAAGGACCCAAAAGCGGAATACAACAGCAGCGAGCTACGCCGTTGTGAAGCACCAGGCAACACACGCGGCGCAGCTCAACTGCCCAACACCAAAAACGACTGCAAGTGGACATGCAGCATGGCACCCGAGTGGCGAAGCACAAGGCAACACCCAAACGACAACCATCCAACACGCCGCAAACAAAAGGAACCCACACGGCAAGGCACCCGAATAGGCAGCCCGGAGGCAGCGTAACGACGCACAAGGCACCGCCAGCAATACATCCAAGCCACAAAGCGAACACAACAGCACAGATTGGACACCCGCAAAGCAAGAGGAATGGGCAGCAAGACAACAGAGAAACGCAGACAGCACAAGGCAGCCCACACATCCAACACAGAGCCAAGCCACACATGACCTACCCACATCACGGGTGAACACTGCAGACTGTTGGTTCCCACCACCCAATGAGCCAAGGAGTCGCTCCGACGACCATCCGTCATCACCTACAGGCAACACAAAACATCTCGAACCGAGCGCCCCCCTAAGAGTGCAGTTGGCACTCCAAACGAGGAACACCGACTGTTAAGCAGTACCTAAGGGTGCTCAGTTGGGCATACGCAAAAATACTTAGAAAAAATTAAAGGGAGGACAAACAACAGGAAAAGGATCGACAGACAGAAAACGGATTGTGTGTGTGTGTGTGCGTGTTCGCGGTGGGCAGGCGACCCCCCCACTGCTAATCAAGCAATCAATCAATCAATAGAAAATAAAAAAATAAAAAGGCCGCGCGCGTTTGTGTGTGTGTGTGTGTGTGTGTGTTCGCTGGGGGGGAGGCGACCCCCCCACTGCTAATCAATCAATCAATCGATCAAAAAAAAGAAACAAAAAACAAAAAAGGCCATACACGTTTGTGTGTGTGTGTGTGT